TGAAAGTAAAAAATACTGAGTATTGAATGTAATTTGTAATGACCGTTTGAGGACTATACTGTCAGTTATGAAAATACTGTCAATATTTATATTGTCAGTAATATTGATCGTGTGAGGGCCGCTAAACGGCGCCAAGATACCTAACAGCTTACAATATATATATACACAACATATATAATATATTTCCTATGAAAATGTACTATATTTTATTTTATTTATAGTTTTATAGAATACTATAAAATAGTTAATAAGTAAACAAACAAAAAATGTTACGCAAAGAATATCTAAAATAATCTTCTAAATAACTTCATAAAAAAGGTAATATCAAAGTCCACGATTTTCAAAGGTTTTAAGATTCACTGTTCGCAATATGTTTGTTAAAATTACAAATTTGCAGCGGGTGGTCTTGAGGTATTTTAAGAAAGTGCAACTATTATGACTTGTGCTAATGCTACTGAGACCCATAAATCGTCATTATGCGGGCTCAGAATGAATAGGTTCTATGTCAATTTTTTTCAAAAATCGTTTTTATGTATACATTTGTTTAATTTTCAATTGTGTATTTTTTGATTAAAAAACGGTGTTTCTACATACAATACTTAGCGAGATACAGAAAATGGAAAGGTTTTATGTCATGAAAAATTACTGAATCGTGATTATAGTTGTAGTTCGATAGAACTTTTTAATTCTGATGAGCTTGCGTAACTGCGTAAGTATGAAAAGGTTCTATCATCATGTATTTAATGTTGGTTGGTAATAAAAGGTTTTATCAATAATACACGATGTCAATGATACGATAAAAACAAAAATTTCCATCATATCGTTCATTGTTTTCAGTAGGCTATTAAGGCACTGACATAATTGGTGCAAATAGGGGGGGGGGACTTAGCCCCATGTAATAATATATATTATAGTAATAAAAAAAAAATTCAACGGGCTTGAGCCTTCCCCACCAAACATTTTTCCTATTTGTGCCACTAACGCTGAGTATGAGTAAAATGGATTTAGGTGATACCTAGCTGGTATGTCATAACATATTATCACCACAATTTTGAGCACTTAGACTTATTATAATAGGATACCATCTATAAATTAAAATGTTTGAATGTTATTAATCTGCAATCTACGTAAAATAATTGAATAATGTAGGTATTAGGTACTATAGGTAAGTGAAAGCAATTTAATTAGTTATTCGCTCAAATTGTTAATAGCATGGTATTAGAATAATTAAATAATGTAAAAACAAATTTTATTATGAATATTTATGTTGCATGTGTTAGTCACACTGATGAGAAGTAAAAATATTGTATAGCACAACATAAAATCATATCATTTCGTTAGAAGAATGAAAAGGTTCTATATAGAGAACTTATTAATTCTTCTTATGCACTTTTTTCCAGTTTTTTTTTGTTTTTATAAAATGTTATTATTATGTTTTTTATGAATGTTTAGTTCTTAATACTCTCAATGTATCTAAAGCTAATTTTGTATTCATTTATTCATTAAAATAATAGTTATATTCATAAGATAACCTGAAAAAAAAGATATTGGCTGTAAAAGTTAAAAAATCGCTCTACTGAAAAATTAGATATTTTAACGTTTTCATCGCAAATTTATTACTCACAGGAAAATCATAAAAACCACGGTGTTTCAAGAACATCAAAAGTTTATCAGTAACATATACAGTTCAAAAAAATGTCTGGATGCCTAAATTATTTCGCAATAGGTTTGATGATTTAATAAAAAATGTAAAAAAAATGGATTGAGGATCATCATTAAACAGGTAAAGTGTTACTCCTACTATGGACATTGCAAACACTCGTCCATCCCCTTTAGTATTAAATTGAATTGATCCAGATTATCAAGTCATGTTTTTTTCACCACGCATTTCTGATAATATAATGAATGTAAATCTAATTAAGTATTAATAATAATACAAAATATTCAATTATAAAAATAATAAATAATCTATACATATAAAGAAAAGTTACTTTAGCCATAATCAACACAGAGCCGAACCTATCTGAGTTATCGAATTGAAATCTTAAGAATGGATTAATATTATAATTTCAAGTTTCACTAAGAAAAGATTTTTCAAAATTTGGTTTTTAAAGGATTGAAATCGGAAAATTGTTTACCAACAAATAATTGTATATCTATAAACATATTTTACAGCATGGCGGCCCATCGGATTTTCATAGCGACATACGACCATAACTTTTTGTCTATCTAATTATGTGTTTCAACGTCGCGTGGATATGAATTATTCCAAGAAGTAAAATTCTACAATCTATCTACAGTAGAACTCCGATTAGCCGAACACCAAAAATCCGGACGTCCACTTATTAACCGGACGAGAAAAAAAACGGCCCGTGCCGTTATTCATACACGTGTCTCATAATAGTTTTTACATTAGATAAAGAATAAGTGTATATTATTCTTAATAATATCCGTCATTCCGATGTAAGTACATTAAAAATTCTGAATCTTTGGATGCATTGAATTTGGTGTTTAAATGGTTTGAGAGGCAAGAAGAATCGAACACCAGTAATTGAGGCTTATTTTGTTTCGGATAAATATATAATACAATTATTTGTTCATGGAAACGAATTTTAAATTATACTACAAATATATGAATAATAGACATACAAATATACAATATATTTATACAATTATGTAACTGTTGATATATTATCATACATCAATCATCCGGATATTTGTTTAACCGGACCACCCTTGACATAAATTAATCCTGATAATCGGAGTTCTACTGCATATATCTATCTATGTACATAAAAATAAATCACAATTTCCCTTAGTCGAAGCATTACGCTTATCGCTTATCATTTAAAAGTTAAAACAGATAAATATATCTTCTATCTATGATATACAACTGCGGTCAATATATAATTTCTTAGTGCTCATTTCACAGTGAAATGAATCGGAAGTTAATGAACAATTTTACAGTGAGTTTTTTGATAATTGTTTGTTCTTCATGGTTAATTTAAGCACGCAATGTGCCATACAATATGTGTTAATGGCGTGTAACATAGGGTACAAGTGTTGCTCAGGCAACACCTTAAATATGGGTAGATGGGTATTGATAGAAGAAAAATAGGACATTTTATTGGTCGGTATAACAGCAGTGTAATGAGGAGTAGGTAGGTCATCTAAAATTATTTGAGCAACTCCTATTTTTTTTATGATACACGCCATTGATATGTGTATAAGTATACAATTTGCACTTTATTTTAATTAATAACTAATTTTCCGATTTTTTTTGGTATTTTTTTAATTTTTTGGTTGCCATTGGTTAATCGGGCAGATCAGGCTTAAGAATGCATCAATTTTAATTTTAGTACATTGCCTACCAAGGTGGCTGTCGGCTGAGTTATACTTATAGTTATAGCCGCTCATCGATATGTACACAATCTTACATTATCACAAGAGAGTCTCATATAGAGTTGGGATTTTTAAAGGGCAACGAAGTTCAAAGAATAAATTAGAAAAGATATAATTATGATATAGTAATTATAAAAGATCCTTATTGTTTCACACGACACTGTGGAAATTGATTTGTCTGCTGTCGTATAGCACCAGTTGCAACCGCTATATATTTTATGACGTGGAAATAGTGGCCGAAATGATAAGCTACAAACTAACATAACATTTTTATTAAGTTGTATGGAAAACACCAAATAGATCAATTATACAAAATGCATTATCGAAAAATAATAATAAGTACTTTTCTTATCGATATGCGATAAAAGTGTAAAAATAATAATTATAACTATACAATCATTTTTTAATGACAATATGTGTATAGAATCATTAGAATCATTTATAAATATTATAATTACTATTATGATTTTTTTTAAGGATTTTTCAAAATTAGACCTCTAAGGGGGTACAATTGGGGTTTTTAATATAGCTATATGATACACGGGCAACGATGTGACGGGACAGCTAGTTCAACAATAATAATAAAAAAAAATTTTTATTACCCAATGTCCGAACTTATGAATATCCGAACTAGATGCGGTCCCAATTAGTTAGGATAATCGAGGTTCTACTATAAATATTTGAGTAAATAACTTATATTACATAATATGTCAAACAAATTTCAAGATATTTGTACATATTATATATTTCCGTTAGTACAGGTTATAAATTATGACTCGTCTGATTTGACGACTGTGACAGTAAAATGATTATTGACTTACCTTTATAAATAACAATTCCATTTTAAATGTTTGTAATCGTATATTTTTGAATTATTTTAATCGTGTAAATATTATAATTTAATAACAATAATATTATAAATATTTGTTTTAAGTATCAAATAATACTATCAGTACATATTTAGTATCAAAAAAAAAAATACTTTTTTAAAATGACGAATGTTTATAAAAAAACGTTGAGGAATATTTTATACTTGTGCAAGTTTGTTGGCATCATTAAAATGTCTTATAATATATTAGAATCTAGTGGATTAATAATTCAAAGTACAGAAAAAATATATAAATCTCTAGAATTTACACGAATGATCATGTTAATAGTATTCACATACTCAGTACACACAAATTATTTATTTATTGAACAAATATATGTGTTCAAATTATGGTCCGTCATTATTGCAGGAAGAATATCGGAAACACGGGTGATACAGTAAGATAAATAATAATTTTAATTCAAAAGATTACAAAATTTAAAAATAATTTAGGGAACAAACATCAAACTTTCTACGTACTGAACTTTCTGAATAGTGGATAAACATTCAATGAAAGAGAGACTCTGGTGTTTAGATATTTCACTGTATTTACATTTTCCCCATATATTCAAACTCTCAAACACATACATTAGTAACTACATTTTCGGTATTATGATTTTTGGTTATTCTGATATGGAATAAAGATAGTATTTCAGAATGGGAGTACACACAAATTTTAAATTTTGATATTGACTGCACCATGCGGCCTCGCTGTGTAAGAACTGCAAATATATAATCATTTGGTTTTCTTATTTTGTTTTTTTGTAGGTTGATGAATGGCATCACCGAGTACGATCAAAAACTAAAATCACTTCCAAGATTTATGCTGATTCGCCAGCATTCACCAAAGAAATATGATTGGAATTCAATTTTAATTTTCTCAATAGTTTATTATATTACAACGGCATTTACTTGTGTTATATTATGGCCACCAAATACTATTAACTTCGTTGTTATAACCATGTATTTTTTTCGGATAGAATACGTCTTGGACGTTGCTGTATGTTTTTCGACATACTTTTTCCTAAAACAATTAGAGTATAGATTTCAGACGTTGAATGAGTCCTGGAAATATCTTCTTCCCGGATTTCTCCCTTTTCCTGAGGAATGGACACGTTCCATAACAGGAATGACACTGGATAAAATACGTTTGTTACACGCTGAACTATCGGACTTATTAAGATTATTCAGTATGGGTTTCGGACAAATACTATTAGGATTTTTTGTATTTAGTTATATCGATATGCTACTTCAATTTTATTATTTTATTAATTTCAATGACAAGAAAACAGAAAAATTCAGTTTTTTATATTTTCTAAGAAAGACAGTGCCTCACATTTTCAACCTAAAAAATGTCATATTGATTTTAACTATTATCATTGCTGCATCAAATGTTCATGAAAAGGTAACAACGATATAAATATATAATTATACACAACTACATAAGTATCTATAATCTTTTCCATTCGTTCCACCTCCGTTCCCTAAATTGTAAAATACTTAGTAAATTCTCTTTTTTGAAGTTAAATATTGAGAATTTTCTGCAATTTGAATCGTTTTAAGTCTTTCCAAAATACAAATTATAAAAGGTATATTTTTATATTTTAGTTGTTTTATTAGCAAGTGAGTCTTATTAATTACCTACCATAATCTTATCATATTTTTAAACATAGATTCATCACAGCAAAAATCCCTTCGAGTTTTTGAGGTATACATTCACAAGTCCATTTAAGTTTTAACACAAATGGTTTTTTTAATTAATAAAAAATATTTTACATCTATGTAATAGTTAAAAACTGTTGACATTTTTGACAATATCTATGTTGATTTAATATTGCCATTCAAAAGAAAAATTTTGTGAACATTGTTTTAAAAAATTGAAACATTGTTATTGGCCCATTGAACATTTAAAGAAACAAAATTTCCAACACAAAATGGATAATTTATACATGAATTTATGACATTGTATTTTTTATTTTATACCCACAGAAACGGAAGATGATTTCAAATTTACGATTAATAAGGATTTCAAATTTATCGGCAAACATAAAAATTCAAGTAAGTAATATAATTATAGTATTGAGAAAGTGTTAATAATCAGTGTAATAAAGATTATATGATTAGCTTTTTTATTTATATAAATACACAAGTAACAAAAGTTCTAATAGTCTATGATTCAATAATTCTATTTTAGGTTAAAATGTTTATGAATCAAATAACAGTTTTTGAATCTAGTGAAATCACTGCTTTTGGAATCTTCAGTATAAATTTGAATCTTGTAATATCAGTTAGTATATAATTTACAGCTTGTTTTCTTATTTGTAGTTTTCTTTTTTTATGTATTTAAGCATATTGAACAATGATATAACAATGAAGTATATTTTTGTTTCCAGATACTAATATTACTTATCACTGGTATAGTAACATTAATACAAATGAAGAATCATCCAATGATATTGCAATCAAATCAAAATGTACAGAAGTTTTTGTTAGGTATTTATAATTTAACAATTAATTGAAAATGTAATAAATTGTAGGTAAGAGCCATACTTTACAAACTATGATGAGCAGCAGTCAATTATTTAAAAATAAACGTTTGAGTTTTTTTGAAGTGAGATATTATATATCATTCAACTTAACCTAACATTTTATTAAATTATAAATTCGTTCATTACTATTTTTTCATTACTAGCTATGTCGTTCTTTTTCAGATTTTCTAGTAAATAATTTAATCTATTTAATCATGTTTTGTTTGATTTATATTATATTTTGATTAAAATTTAGAATTTAGTTTATATTTTATTTTAAAATATATTTATAAACGAAATTTACCTCAATGGTGTTACCTATTGTGACTTCAATAAGTTATTAAGACCAGCTTATAAACTCATACAGTAACATTGATTGATTTAAAAATTGTTTTTAAGTCAATCAATGTTTATTGATCTATTTCCTTTAAGCTGTCTATGAAATAGTTATAACTATGATGCCCTCCTATTTACTACGGCAGTAACTACAAAAATTCAAAAATTAGAGTTTTTTAATTATATTGTTAATGAGATTATTTTGAGAATAATTTTACGAATATTAAAAACAGAAAAAAACGATATTTGATAGCTTTATATAAATCTTTAATATTTCGTTATTACATCAAATACTAGTGCTCAAAACCGTAAAATTCCTACATCAAAATTCAGAAGTTTGTAGTTAGGTACTGCATTTACCGTAATCATAAAAACAACATTTTCTTCTTTTCTTCTTTTCTTCTATCAGAAGTTAGGTATCGTATTGTATCATATTAAATTTAAAAGTAAAATTTCAGTAGCCCAATGAATACGTTTTATATTAGGTAAAATTACGCATCACATGATCGATGAGCCTCGTTACAGCTGAAAAATAATTGAGCCAAATTGGCACAGCCGTTTTCACTGATGAATTACCATATATTTTTTTGGTCTTTATTCACCCAAGTCAGAGGGTTTCGATACTGGTGGACCTTTTTCCCCACATAATTCACGTTGGTATTAATTAGGTACCGAATTTACTTATTTTACATAAATTACATATGTAAATTTACTTATGTTTAAAATAAAAATGTATTAATATTTACGACTAAGTGTTTAGTGACAATGCACTACCGAGCACTTATTAGTTATTATCATTATTGTTATTGTTATAATTGTTTTTTCATTGTAGTGAGTTCTACTCACAGACGCGACGTGACAACATTGTGTCCGCCGATCTATTACGTCTCACGTTTTGTATTGGTCTTATTGTTTTGTTAACTGTTGTTTTTTGTTTAAATATCTTGTAACATATACTTGATGTTGTTTGTCACCATTTAAAATACATTTAAATTAAATTGATTATTATATATAATATTGTTTTTTTGAATTTATATAATAATATATTTTTTTTTTTTATAACATCAACTGCGTGGTTATTAGCCAGGGGGGTTTTGGGACTGTTTGGGTTTTTACTGTAGGGTTCGGAACACGTGTGTATATAAAAATATTATACTTTAAATATTTGAAGTTGGGAAACTGAGTCCGAAACACCTTTTTTGTCGTTGACCGAGTCCCGGGCTTGAAAATGTTTATGGTTAGCTGGGTCCCTAATATTATTATAACTCACAATGTTATATTAATTTCTATAAACAATTATTATAACTAAGTACATAATATATATCGGTATAATGATAAATAATATTTATTTTATTACTATTTGTTATTATGAACCGGTTAAAATGTATATGAAATCCTTTTAACAAATTCAAGTCATGAAATATTTTATTTTTCATATTTCAAAATTTCTTGTCTTAAAAAATACTTAGGTGGTGCCTCAAGGTTAGATGCATAATATCAGTCTCATGTATTATGTATTATATTATTCAGTGGTTTTTTTGTATTCTTGGACGCTCCTATCCCTATTATATTTTATAATTATTTTAAGTTGCACATTAATCATAATGTAGTGTAAAGCGTAAGTACGTATATATTACTTTGTAAAGTCATATATTATACAGTATTAAAATCATAGTTCAAAAGCAAACATTTATTGGAGTACTTCGATGGATAAGATATTTTGGCATAAAAAAATAAAATTTTGGACAGTTAGGTTATGACTTATATCGATTTTATGTGTTTATGAGGTTTTCGTAGTTAAGAGAATACAGAAAAAAATGTTACAACTTAATTTCACCGGGACTGAGGACGTTAGAAAATTTTTTAAACAATATAATAAGATTAGCGACATTAATGAATGGAATGAAAACGACAAACTAAAATACTTTTCAATTTTTGTAAAAGGCACAGCCAGTACCTTTTTAGAAAATCTTGAAGACCAAAAAGGAAATTGGTCATGGAAAGAATTAGAAGATATTTTTTTAAATGAATTTCAACCCATAGGACATGACACTATATTGCAAATCAAACTAGAAAAATGTTTGCAAGGGGAAAATGAATCTACCACAAGTTTCTTAGCTGAAATAGAAAGTTTATGTAGGCAGGTAAATAAGCACATGAGTGAAAAAGATATTTGTGGATATATTTTAAAAGGTTTAAAGAATAACATTTTAAAATCAATTTCGATGCAAGACAATAATAGCTTAAAAAATTTAAAAGAAAATTAAAAAAAATTTGAACTGATGCAGTTTAAGATAAAAAATAAAAAAGATGATATGAGTGAATATACAGAAATTCTAAATGAACAAGTATTACAATTAAACCTAAAAACAAAAGATATAGAAATAGAGAATTGAGAAGGCAAATAAAGGACAGTTTTTCTAGAGATCGAGAGAATAAAATAAATATAAACAAATTAAGTGACGAAATACAAAAAATGAACTTATTAAGAAAAAGATCGGTATATTTTGATGACAACAATAAACAAAAAAATAATAATCGCGATTATAATGAAAACAGCTAGAGGACGAAGTTACAATAGGAAAAGAGACTTCGACAATGATAAACGCGAGTACCGAAATAACAGTCCATACCCATATAGGAGAAATGATAGCGAAGAGAGGAATTACAATAAAAGAGATAATATTCCTTACCCCTCTAGGTTGTATAATCGATATTCTAGAGATAATAGCAAAGACAGCAATTACAATAGAGACAGATCATACTCAAGAGAAAGAAAAAACAATTATGATAGTTCTAGGGAAAGTAGTATAGACAGAAGTTATGACAGAGATTTTATAACGTATAAACATAGAGACGATAAAGACAGAGAAACAAGAGGAAATTATAAACAGTGTAGTAAAAACAAAGACGGAGAAAAACGATACACAAAAAACCGTCAATACAGCAGAGAGAATAGTCGAGAAAGAGTACCAGGAAAATATAGAGAAGACCGCTATGCGAAAGAATCCGAGAGAGTTACTAGCTATAGGTGTAACGAGCGAGGACACTACGCAGATAATTGTAAAATGCCAAAAAACGATTAGGGTCCGAGTTAGAAAAAAAATCGGATCAGCTAACTCGGATAAACACTTATGAACTAAATAATATAACTTATAATGAAATAAAGGGAATAGAGAAAAATAATTATATACGTTGTAACGAGACAAAATTAATACAATTTTTGGTATCGGTAGCGCGCTCTGGAGGAGTAGACATGCGCAATAAGACCATGTGCCTGTATGGGCACCGCCTACGGTAACGACCGTTTCCATAGAGTGCGTGCCGGAGCTCGCACTCTACGGTCGCCGCACAAAGGGCAAGTTTTATAGCAAAAGTCAAACTTAATTCATTATATTTACTTAGTCAGTCACATTAATGATTATTCAGCTTTCGAACGCGGGCAGCCGCCCGTAACCTAGCGATGAGGCAAGTAAAGCAAATATCTGTTTCGTACGTGGACACGGAACATCATTCTACATCGGTTATCCTTAAAACAACACGCAGATATACAGGCCAGTAATACCACAGAAGGCAAGTTTTTTCTCATCAACCTCGTACAATACCGCTCTCTATTGTAAAGTGTTAACTTAAATCGTTGCTCCGTCCGTTCTACCCTCCTCTTATCCAGTGTGCATAGTAATACGTTTTGGCGTATTGACAAGCTGTGCACATCTGGGTAATAGGAGTGGTCCGCTGTCGTCCGCCGTAGGAGAGTTGTGGTGCCTAGTAATACGTCTTGGCGTATTGACAAGCTAGGTACCACACTTCTCGGGATTGGCGATCCCCGTTGACGCTGCACGGACATCGCAGTACCGTTGCCGCCGCCCGTCGACCGCCGCCGCGACGCAGAGCTGTTACCATCCGTCGCCACCGTACGAAGTTCGCGCTACGGTTGCCGACGCACGGTGCACGACGCCACGACCGATCAACATCGTAAACTCTCGCGCCGATGTTACCGCCGCAAGTTAAATTAGACCGTTATACGATATATGGTCACCGTCAAAGCTGTTCACTAGGAGTGATTGAATAAGAGCCAGGATCAGGTCAATCGTACGAGGACGAGCCAGAGCTGCCGCCCAACATTGCCACCCAGGAGTCCATTGTCGCATTTCAATCCACTCAACTATCCAGTGACGGCAATAACGTGAGTCCTATATATTTCATAAATGTCTGTAGCTCGAAGAGCACTTGTCGATATAAAAGAAAATATTGTAAAACATTATTAAATCAAAAATATCTGTAGCTCGAAGAGCATATGCGAATGATAAAAGAAAATATTGTAAACTTATTAAAATTCATGTTACGTGAGAATAAAAACACATAATTATTTATTCATCAAAATCAAAGTGTACTGTATTCTTACAACGTTTTATTAAAAATTGGTACGACCAAAAATTAAATAAAACTATTGTTAATCAAAACCTAGATATAAGCAAAACAGAAATTGAAGACATGTATTTAAAAAATAACCCAGAACCAGAGTCAGAATTTCAAAACTTTTTATTCAGCAAATAATGCGAATGCTACTCGAACGTGTGACTATTTAGAGGTAACTGGAGATATTTTTTCACTAGACAAAACTTGGGCAATGAGCCACTGCGTCAGCAAATGTCTCACGATGTCCCGAGGAATAGCGTTAAAATTTAAAAACAAATTTAATAATATAAAACAATTAACTAATAAAAATAAAAATAAAAATACTAACGAAATAGCTTACCTAAAATCAGACGATCAATGGTTATTATATCTGATTACAAAAGACAATTATAATGACAAACCTAAGTATTCTAATATTTTCAAAACTCTATAAAACACAAAACAATTTTGCATAGGAAATAAAATAAAAAAATTAGCATTGCCTAAAATATGTTCAGGCTTAGACAACAAAAAATGGGACATCACTTCTAATATGATAAAATTTATATTTCAAAATATCTCTATAAAAATTAAAATACTATCATTACCCGAAGGAAGGTAAGACAACCTTTTACACAACTATGAAAATTTATATCCTATCAATGACAACAAAAATGACAGTTCAGCAATTAAAACAAATAAAATTAAAGACATATATCTAAACAGCTCTAATAACTCTATCAACAATGAATCAAAAAATATTAGTAAATATGTCTGCACCTATGTAGACAAACATTACAATACAAGAGTACTATCAATAATAGTAGAACATGATGGCATTGAAAAATATGCAATAATTGACACAGGATCTAATATTTCTTGCATAGATATGTCTTTAATTAATAATACGGATCTCGTTAAAAAAGAGGAAGATATTGTTATAACAGGAGCAGATAATACCAAATTAGAACAATTAGGCAAAATAAAACTAGTGGTAAAAATAAATGGGAACACGTACTCTATTAATGCGTACGTAATCAAAGGATTGAACTGCAAAATACTACTGGGAAACGATTTAAACATAAAAAATAACTGAATCATCAATTTTAAAGGTAACAATTTAGAATTAAATAACGATGTCTTAATACCTATGGATGAACTATGGTACAATTATAACACACGAAGCAATAACAATGATATAGAAACAAAACATAATATAACATTATAACAAGCATAAACTACGTCAAACAAAAATATATGGGAAAAATTGTATCAAATTACAACATAAATATTCAACCAAAAAATAAAATAAATATTAAAAACTTCAACATAAACACAAATATAATAGACACTAGTTACGTAATAGAACCAATTGAACGATTAACCAAAAATAAGCTTCTAACATTAGAATCATCCTTTGTTAGTAATGAAGACGGTATAACTCTTTACAATTTTTCAAATCTTTACAGTAACATTCTCTCAGGAATGACAATAGCAAATATCGTAAAAACAAATACGCCAAAAATAAAAAAGAATTAGCAGAAAAAAATATAAAAACAATATATACCACTAAGCAAAAACATTATGATAACGAAAATATTAATGAAGTCACCGATAAACAAGGAAACTTAATAAAAATTTCTCAAGAATTAAATCACAAACAACGCAAAGAAGCCCTAAAACTAATTAATAACTATAAACACTTATTCACTTCAGACCCACTAGATATAAATTATGCTAACATAGAACCATGCGAAATTAATTTAAAATCAGATAAACCTATATTTCAACTACCATTTAGAGTTTCTCCGTCACAAAGAGAAAAATTAAAAATATTAATTGACCAAATGATAGACGCGGACATTATTGAACCGAGTAGAAGTAGTTACGCTGCACCTGTTTTCTTAATTCCGAAAAAGGAAAAGGAGGAATACCGATTCTTGGTATACTACAGACAATTGAACAACGAGGCTGTAGCTGACAAACACCCAATACCACGATCACAGGACCTTTTTAGAAGTTTAGAAGGAGCCAAATACTACTCTTCTATCGACATGGCTCAAGGTTATTTTCAAATACCTACCAATAAAAGAAGAGGACCAAGATAAGACAGGATTTATTACAGATTTTGGACTATTGAACTATTGGACTAATTTTAAAAGGATACCACAATTAATTCCGACAATATAAAACCTGAGACATTAAAAACATTACAGTAAATATTTTAAAAAATCAAGAAAATATTTAATAAAGCAGGACCTACTATATTTTAAAAATTGGTCAACTCACGGATTAAATAACCTGTTAGTAATACCCAAAAACTTGACTAACATAATTATTAAATCTTACCACGAATCAGTTTTTAGTGGCCACTTCGGAATTACAAAAACCTTAGCTAAATTAAAACAAAAATATTATTGGCCCACAATAATAAAAGACACCACAAATTTTATAAAAACATGCATTTCTTGTCAAATGATTAAAAATCCAATAGGCAAAAATCACGGTTTACTACAACCAATACCTTTACTTTCAGGGAAGCTAATGCAAAGACTAACATTCGATTATTTAGGAACGTTACATACTTCTAGGGGGAAAAATACCTCATTGTTGCTACCTGTAATGTTACAAAAATGGCTTTCGCAAAGGCAGTTACAAATGCAAACGGAGCAGCAACAATAAGTTTTATAATGGACTTAATAACACCTTACGGGGTACCTAAATATTGTTGTGATAGGGGCACCCATTTCAAAAATAAAGAGGTAGACTATGCCTGTAAAAAATTAGGTATTTCTCAAATTTTCTCTAGTGCGTATCATCCACAGACACAAGGTATGACCGAACTTATGAATAAAATCATCTGTAATAGTTTATCACATTATGTAAATGAAAATCAAAAAGACTGGTCATTATATTATAAAATGATCATTTTTGCTTATAATACTAGCCCAAGTTTGAGATTAAAAGTAAGCCCATTTTATTTACTCCACGATATAGAAGCAAGCCAACCTATATATAATAAATTAACTACAGAAGACGAGTTGTTTGACTTTACTAAAGCACTAAAGCAACTTCAAAAAATTAGAGACACTATTCCCAAAATTGTTGAAAAAGAACAAGCTGTTCAGAAAAAACAATATGACATAAGTCACAAAAATATAAATTTCAAACTGGGACAAAAAGTATTAAGAGGGCGCCACACCCGCATGCGTTGTCTCCGTCTTACAAACGAGTAACATACCAAATTTACGCTCAGCAGTTCAAGTTTTATGCCGTTAGCATAAAAATTAGAGTGAATTAACCTATTATGAAACTTGATGGTAAGAACTTTATCCGTGTTTTGTTGGAAGCTTTTTTTACGATACTTCAGTTTTTAAGCGAGGTATGCTTGTATAATAAATGTAAATTAAAAATGCTCATAACTCACTTAAAAACTGAATTATTGTAAAAAAACTTCCAACAAAACACAGATAAAGTTCTCACCATCAAGTTTCATAATAGGTTAATTCACTCTAATTTTTATGCTAACGGCATATAACTTGAACTGCTGAGCGTAAATTTGGTATGTTACTCGTTTGTAAGACGGAGACAACGCATGCGGGTGTGGCGCCCTCTTAATAAAATTTGATTTCAACGAAAAATATAAATCAAAGAAATTAACTAATAAATATGGGTACAACACGATTGCGAAAGTTTTACCTTTTTTATAACACGATTGCGAACGAATGACGCTTATCAGAGAATTTGTTTTTTTAGTCGAAAAACGAACGATTTCGAACGTTTTTATATACTACGTTGCCAAGTTTATATTTCTGAATATGTTTTGTTCAGGAGTTCAATTAAAACATTTTTTTTTTTAAATATAAACTATTGTTATTAATAATACAATTAAGACGACAACTCTTCGTTACAAACTAAAATAAAATTATACAAAATAATAAGTAATGTTTAAAATGTTGATTAATTAAAACTGTTTTCATTGTATAAATATTAATAATACTGATAATATCTGAGTTCTGAATGAAAAAATAATATTATACATAATAATACACTCAAAATAATAGTTTTTAAAAAAAATTTTCTACATTTTTACTTTTTTTAAAAATTTTTCCCTGGTAGGAATTTCCAGTTTTTCTTAAATATAAAATTAGATCTTTGTGTACTTTATAATCATTATAATTTTGTAAAGTTGATTCAATTAAAAGTTTATCTTTATAGGCTTATGTACATTGTTTTTAATAGAATTAATTATTGCCAAAGTTTGAGCTTGTGTTTCTTTTAAAACTGATATAACTACGTGTGTTGGAGGATGGGGGCTATAAAACTGACCATTGTACGTCCTGTGAAAGCTCTCTGGGCAATTAGTAGTTCTAAAAAATAATTATAAAAACTTAGAGATTTTATATTAACTGGTAAAATTAAAGTAGGAAGGAACAAGAATTTAATTTAAAATTTTTTTAAATCATACCTTGGATTTACTGAGGGTTCTTGTGCCCAAAGATATGGGGGGAAATAATGAATCAGGTGCAATATATGTTGATACTAAATAGTCTGTAAAAACATGACCTTCTTCTAGGCTGGGGCATTCGGCTATTAATGCTTAAAATGCATCTTCAATTTCGTCACTGGGTAAAAACGGTAAGCCAAAAAATAATTTTATTCATTGACCTAATTCATTGTTGTTATCTTTGTATGCGTTTCTCAAATTTGAATCTCCATTAATCTGTAGATATTTAATTACAAATAATACTGCACGACTATCAGACTATACGAATTGAGCAGGTTTTCCATCAAATTAATAAAGATATAATATTATAGATATTCTACATCGTACCTATCTATCTTATCACCCGGCGTAATAGCAGAAAATACTTATATTACTATATGATTATTTTTTAAATTATTATTTACAAATTTGTTATTGGTACCAAATCTGACAACACCGCATGATTAAAAAAAAAAATAAAATAAAATAAAAACGTTCGCAATCGTGTTACCGGAAAAGGTCAGTTCGCAATCGTTCCATTCGCAATCGTATATTAACCCTAAATATAGAGGCCCTTTTACTATTATTGAAAAAATATCTGACGTAATTTACAAAGTGGATTTAATCTTAAAAGGAAAAAAAACCATAGATATCATACATGTACAAAGAATAAAACCTTTTTATGAAACAGCAGTATCAAGCACAGGGGAAAATAATATACCTTAATCAAACCTAACACTAGGCAAGTTAATATTTAAAAAAAAAAAGTTAATTTTACACAGCATTAGCTAACCTTTATTTTGGTATTTTTTTAACAAACTAAAAACTAAATTGTTGACAATAGTGTTCATAAAATTAAAACCTCATACTGCATTTTAATATAGTATTTCATTGAAGTAAACTTTAGTTATAAGTACTGTAAGCAACTAGTATATTAAGTTAGGTACAAAAAATAATTAATACCTAAAAATAATACTTATATTATAACAATATTATCTGATGTACTCGGGTACCTACATGTATAATGCATATGGGTGACAATTTAACGTACAGAGCAATAGAAAATTATTTTATAATTATGTTTAATTCAGTCTTTGGTTATAGATGTTTTTTAAAATCCTCACAGTCGTGGCGGTACTCATCAGTCATCAATGCTAACGCAGAAGAAGATATAGCTGTAATTGTATCTCCCGGAGCCTTTTTTTGACGAGGTACCAGAGACCATATAACATGGTTAACCATGCTTACCATAATAATAGGGTTCATAGGATATAAAATATACCCAGCTATTATCAAAATAGATATGTTAACCGTGCCCCCTCCTATTCTACAAAGAAAATTATATGAAGTTAAATAAACAAATAATTAATTCAATGCTTACACACTAACAAAACAAAATTGGTTGTATAAAAATCACTATGTAAGACCAACTATAAAATATGTTCGAACATGATAATATTACAATAAATGAATAAAATATAAACAATATACAATCTCTAATACTGGCTCTAAAAAAAAAAATAATCCATTTCGCACAACTAAAATCATTATAAATTAATCCAAGAAGCTACTGATGTGGTTACACTTATAAAATCAATTTCACAAAAATTTAAACAGTGAGATGTTAAAAAAAAAAAAATGTATCATAATAATATAATACCTAACTAATATTGTTTTATTTAAAAAAAAAAAAAAAACGTAAAACCAATTTAACAGGAAATCGGTATCAAAACAAAGTAATATACGACGGTCAACTAACACTTCACCAAGACCATTAAATATTAACATTCGCAGCCACAAGAGGATTCAATCAATACAACGAAGGAGATGAATGAATTAGTAAACTCAGCAATTACCTCCACACTCTAGTAACTTTTTTTTACTCCATCTAGTATAGTATATAACAATATTTAATATAATATATTATACGGTTTCTTTCATTATTCAACGTTTTTAATCAGTGGTTTATTATTACTATTATTAGAATTATTTAATAAGATTGTAAGTTTTTACATTTGTATAAGTGTTTTAACCGTAAGGTGTTATTATTATTATTTTTGTATATACAATGTAATTACTAGTTTCTATAGTAGGTAAATAGTTTTGTTTGTTGAATAATGTCTTCTTCCATTTTCAATTTTGAGCTAAGCGATTAATATTAGAATGATGTTCGTTATATTTATGTGTATTTTTTTTTTGTTCATCACCTTTTGGGACACAAAAAATTCTTTTAACATAGGTAGTAATTATAAAATAAGAACTACTATATTAGTTATTTTATTGTAAATAAAAAATATTATTCATGGCAATTATAACTAGTATAGGTACTATATTATTATATTTTATAGTTTTATAATTTATACACATAATGACATCACTCAAAATTTGCTTTTTAAATAAATTAAACCAAATGCATAACTGATGATGGGCAATAGTAAAATCAATTACAATAATATCATAAATAGGGACATGAGCTTTTAAAGTTAATTATAGCATTTTATATACACAATCACATTTTCGAAGATATAATATAAAAATGTCCCCGTGGCTGATCCGTAATACACAATATAACATAACCGTATGTACGAGTACCCAATGACCTGCACTAGTTAATTACTTTAACCTAACATTTTAACCATTTTGTCAACCGTGACAGAATAATTATTATTGACTCTTGAGTGTTAGAAATCTAAAGTCACATATCTTGGTACTAAAAATGTTGTCTGAAAGGGGTTCAAATAAGTTAACACGAACATAATATGTGAGTGCATTGATCTCCATGACTCCATGACATAACATCAAAGAATATTTTAAACTGCCATAAGATCTATGTAACTCTAAATTTTTTTGCATATTATCATCACGACTATGCAACACAATATATCTCTCTGTCCAGCTATCACCACTGCTCCTTCACCAGTGGAAGGCGCATTATATTGTCCTCTCTTTGTTCTCCTACAAGAATTTTCTTTGCATGGATGACGACATTAAAATCAAGATCAGTATTTCTAATCATATTCAATTAAAAACTCATTTTTCTTTTTATAACTTAAAAAAAAAACTGTGTTTTTATTCTTTTTTTCCGAGAGCGCCTAAGCTATGTAACCTAATTTGTTGTTGAATTTTTTTTTATGTCTCTTAAATGTATTAGAACGAAGAAGCTTTGTTTAAATTTTCAAATTAAAACCTTTAATATACCTGTCACACTATTTTGCTCAGCGCCTTCTTAATTTAGAACAAAACTATATATTGTAATATTGTATACATTGTTTTCTTGTTTTTGGCTGTTAAGATTATTATATGTTTCTGTGTTAAATTGCTTGTCCCTTAAAAATGTTAACAAATAAATAATTAAATATATATATATGTATGTATATGATTTACAGCCAATAAGAAATGGAGAACTAAGGTATAGGTGAAGTGAAGAGTGGAGTATGCGTATCCAAAAACTGTGAAGATACCTATCTATTTTTTCATGGTCATTTGTCAGTCCGCTGTTGTTGACAATATCTAACCAGGTGATTTGTAAGATTCTACGTAATTTTGGTAATATATTATTATATATATTATACAATTATACCAACAGATATTTAATAATTCGAAATTATTAATTCTGAGTCAATGATACACATTATACGCATACATAATACCAATAGGCAATAAGATACATTTTTAAAATTACTATCTTTAAAACTACGCCACTAAAGCTACTTTTTTTTTTTTATTTATTTATTTTTTTAGAAGAAGAAAATATACAATCTATATCTAAGACATGATAAGTATATGTGCGATAAGGGAAAAATCGACAATTAAACATAGTTTTACATACATTTGAAGAAAGAAGCCACCCACTGATGAGATTTTCGTCTTGGTTTATCGTAGTGATTTGGTTGTATGTTAGTTTTTATATCATATATTAAAATTTAGTTATATGTTAGTATTTAAAGTAATAAATCTCTGAACCATTTACGTTTAAGTCATCTCGGAGGGCTACCTGGGATTGTGAAAGGTGATAATTTTTTGATGAGAGGATTTGAATGAGAAGAAAGAGAGTTATGAAATTTTTTATAAAAACGTTCAGCTTCGTCATGAATAGTTTTTAAGTTACAATCTAAATGCAGGGTATGCTTTGATGTGCATGAAGGGGCGTTAAATAAATTCCTTAAGGTCAAATTTTGGAAAGCTTCACAAACAAATGAAGTCAAAACCAGGACACTTATTTTGTGGGTATTTACGTATGCGATATTTAACATCATTAGGTGAGAAAGATTTAACTATTGGCGAGGGATGAAGAGGAGCATTAAGAGCAGTATTTACAACATTTGTGTTTTCTAAATCTACAACGTTTGAGTGTGGTTGAAATATCTCAGAGAGGTGTAGTTTTAATAACTCAGCTTTTTCTGAATCAGAGGTATTTAGACTCCCGTCGGATTTTTTTAATGTTGGATTAGAAGCTTTATACCGTAGGACTTTCTTGGTAGCTTTCCAAAGGCTGCCATCATTTGAAGTAAGATTGGTTAAATTGTGAGTGAGAACTGTGTCTTTGTGCTTAGCGATCAGTCTTTTCAGTGAGTTTGCTTGACGGTTGTAAATTTGTTTATGAGATGGTAAGCGAGTACGTTTGTTACTTGTCTAACTTCAAAGAGTCTGACTTCCAATTCTTCTTTGATAGCTTTAATTAGCCTGAAAGAGTTAAGTTACGTATAACTATTCTTAAAGGTTTATCCTCTCCGAGTTGATAAGTGTGATATTCCGCATTCTCATCTTTAAGAAAATGAATTAGAGCTCTGTATGAATCCGGGTTTGAAGTTTGTATTTTTAGTTTGTGAGTAGATGATTTACAAAAAAAATTGTCAACGCCAATTATTTCGATTAATCTAGCGCACAGCTCAGGGAAATCAGCAACACCTTTTACAAAAATTGGAGGAGGTGGTTTGTTTTGGTCATTAACATCAGTATCAATATCAATTTGCTCTGCAAGGAGAGTGGAGGAATTTTCAGCTTGATTTTCATCTTGAGAGAGAACTTCACAACGGTTTCTCGAAGTGAAAATTTTTTTTTATTTTTATTTTTTTGAGTAGGTGTTTGAGTAGATGATTGAGTAGCTGGTAATTTTGGAGGTTCGGAAGAAGAAGAGGTGGATAATTTCTTTTACTAGATTTTGTAACAGTCCAGCCTGGATCAAATGAGTTGTTATTTTTTCCTAGTTTGATCGGAGTAATCGGAGGGACTCGATTGTTTTTGTTATTATTCATTTCGATAACTAGATAATGAGTTAGCGAGAGTAAGAAAATTTAATTCAAAAGAAAGAGCAAGAACGAGAACGAGAACGGGCGATAGCGTGAGCAAGTAATTAGGCTTATCTTGGCGGCTGAGATAGGAGCAGCGCAGATTACGCCAGGTGTGATTAATAATAATAGTTAATAATAATTTTTAAATTATTAAACCGAAGAGTAAATTATTCACTATACTAAAAGACTTGTTGTAGTACCGATTTTTAAATAAATAAAGATTTGAATATTGAACGTGAACGTACATGGTACATATCACATAGCTAATGGTGTTTTAGGTAAAGCAGTTAATTAATTAATAATTAATAAAGAGATAATTAATTGGGCGCAAGAACGCGTGCGTATCAAACGACTGCTATCGCGAGACTGTACTAAAGCTAATTAACTATAAAAACGGATGAACAATACCATAAAACCAGACTCAGTAACACCTTGTCCAGCGGCCCAGATCACCACTTCTATGACTTACATAAGTCATGGACTTGATCAAAGCCGTCCACCCCTTATATAGGTTCACTCTCAGTACAAGCAAGAAGATTTTTAGAAAGAAGAGTTTATTATTATTATGTCTACAAATGTGCTACACATTCTTACCTATTACATTATGGTGGTAATTTTAAAAGTAAAACTTTAAATATATTAGACTATAAAACTAAATCAACAAGTTGTTTCAAATTTCAAAAAAATGATCACTGTTCAACCGTATTTTGGTAATGACGGCCAAGACGTTCATCATTTAAAAACAGAATTATTATTTATTTGTTCATAAAAATAAAATTAGTAAAATTGGTGGGTAGTTAGAAATAATTATTTAAATTTTTATTGTTTAAAATTTTTATTTATTTGCGTATGTTTTACTACTATGGCACCTGCTATTACATAATACATTTGACTGACCACATTTACATTTTTTAGTTGTACATTTTTTCTGGCAATCACTCCTCGAAAATCTTTGCCCGCCTGATAGAAAAAGTTTAGCAACAGCTTGGTGGATGCTTGTTAGTGCCACCAATCAATGTATATCAACTATTACTAAGTTATATCATGATATAAGTTTATTATATTAATCTTAAGACCGATAAAATGCAAGTCCTAAGGTAAATTATTAATATCTACACATATAAATTATAATGTAGTAACTGCACATTGCAGTTGTAAATTTATCTTAGCAAAGTAATTGTTATTAACCATTGCGATCAAACATTTTGAGGTGTGATTGCCAGAAAAAATGTACAACTTAAAATTAAATTTTTATTTTGTATAAAGAATTTAAATAAATGTCAGCAGTTTATTTTAATAATATATAATTATAATTTTTACGCAGCTTATCGCTTAAATAGTTAAATGTTATGTGTCATGTAATGATCAGCTTTTACTAAGTCAATTTGCATATCCTAAAATGTATACAAAGTGTTTAGTAAAAGCCTGAATAAAATTAAGAATGTCAGCATTTACTGAGTACAAACAGTAAAACCTAGCATTAACTAGTAAAACCTAGGTTTACCTAGTGATCGGGCATTTACGGTAACATGTACATAACATACATCAAACAATTAATACTCCATGCCTCTATAACCTTGTTAATCTAAAAAAACAAAGACAGGAACATGCACATCAAGTGTCATTGAATTATTTGTGACTATAATTCAAAAAGTAAATATCATATTACGAAGTACATATTATAATAATATACATATAATACATACCTAGTATTTTGCTGATTTTGTCGACCATGAAACAATAATAATTATCTATCTAAATAAATAATTATTTCTAATAAAATGGTTGTGTTTTTTACTAAACTTTTCATTCATTTAAATTTTTTGAAACAATTGAATTTATAATTGCATCATACTAACAAAAACTGTTTATAACAATCAAATATATCGTTAATCTAGTATTAAAAAACATTTTCCTAAAATGACTAATGTTTATAATAAAACATTAAGGATTATTTTATATTTGTGCAAATTTATTGGCATCATTAACATGTCTTACATGTTAGAATCGGATGGATCATTAATAAAAAGTTCAGAGATAATCTATAAGTGTTTTGAATTTACGCGAATGATTATCTTAATAATATACACGTACAATACACACATAAATACTTATTATATTATTCACAAACTACATTTATTCAAATTATGGTTCGTCATTATAGCATCAAGAATATCAGAAACATGGGTGATACAGTAAGATAAATAATAATAATATTAATAGTAAATTATTATAAAAGTTAAGAAAATTAAATTTTAAAATTGTCGTGTACCCCGCATAGGGTAGGACAAGACGTAATAGTCATGTTCAATAATAATAAGATATTTTATTCATCAACCTCCTCTCCATATCTCATAAATTATACATACTTATTAATATATCAAACTATGCTATATCGAATGATAAAATGTGTAATATACACAGAAGCAAAAAGTTAACCAATTATTTGGAAAACATAAAAATAAATAATAATAAATACCTATTGTGTGATGCAATTTACTTTTATTACATGAAAACAGTCATACTTAGTGTACCACGAAACAACAATATAATTAATATGTTTTTAATATTTCGTTTTTTGTAGGTTGATGAATGGCATTATCGAGTACGACCAAAAACTAACATCACTTCCAAGATTTTTATTTATTCACCAGCATTCGCAGAAGAAAAGTTGTTGGAACTTAATTTTCATTTTTACTATAACTTTTTATCTTGCGAACACATTTCTCCTTATGTCTATATGGCGACCAAGTTCCGTAGGCATCACTATGATCACTAGTTTTTATATTCGAATAGAATTCATCGTAGACATTTCAGTAATTTTTTCCACATATTTTGTCTTACAACAATTGGAGTATAGACTTCAAACGTTGAATGATTCCTGGAAATATCTTCTACCAGGCTTTCTAGTCGTTCCGGCTGGTGAATTGACACATTCCATCACAGGAATAACGATGGATAAAATACGGTTGTTACATGCTGAACTATCGGACTTACTAAGAATATTTAGTGTAGGTTACGGACAGATGCTATTAGGGTTCTTTGTATTCAGTTATATTAATATGGTGCTCAATTTTCATTATATTATTAATCATAATAGTATGGAAAGAGAAGAATTCACTTCTAGATATTTTCTAAAAAATGTAGCACCATATATTTCAAGCATAAAGAATGTCATATTTATTTTATGGATTATCATTGCTGCATCACGTGTACATGAAAAGGTAGATAACATTTATAAGCTCAAATTTTTTAATGTTAGTATCCACCTATATTTGGCATATAAATTTGTCATTGCCAACAAAAAAGTAACCAATTCTCAAAAAAATTTGGACACAGATAATTATATTGTTAATTGGTATTTAAAACATGATTTATAATTACTATTTATTTTTGTTTAACAATATAGTAAAACATTTAAATTTATATAACATTCCCATAAATGCCTAAATATACAATACGTTTCACAAAAAAATAGATGAATTCAACACGAACTTATGAAATTGTTATTTTAAGAATTATATTTATCTACAGAAACGGAGGATGATATCAAATTTACGATTAATAAGGATATCAAATTTACCGGCAAACTTAAAAATTCAAGTAAATACAACAAAAAGCAAAATAAGTGTTAATTACGTAATATGTTTTTTGAAGATGGTAGATATATATTTTTGTAATACATCAACCAAGATAACAATACTCTTGATGTTAAATACTGTTATTAAAATATTCTTATTCTGTATTTATTATATATCAGGTTAAAATGTTTATGAACCAAATATTAGTTTTTGAATCAAGTGAAATCACCGGTTTCGGAATTTTTAATATAAATTTAAATCTTGTTGTAACAGTAAGTACGCAATTCAATAATTGTAATTTTTGATTTTTTAGAATTTATAATGAAATAATAAAGTACAAGATTTTCGTATTAATTTTTGCAGATAATAATACTACTTATTACTGGATTAGTAACATTAATACAATTGAAGGAACATCCATTTATGAAGCAATCGGTATTAAAATTAAAGAATTACCTACGTAATGTAACTGCAATTAAAGTTAAATAAGTGAAAGGATAATAATGAGAAGAAATCGGTTAATAATTCACTGTTTTCAAATGAATAATTTTATATTTTATTTAAAATAAATATATTTACTACTTCTTTTTTTTAGCATTAAGTCGGAACTAAATATATTCTGTATAATAATAAAATTATGTGTAATTGTGTTTTTTATGTTTTTATTGTATCTATTCCATTTTGTCATTCTGTCAATTACTATATAATTAAATACAACTGTAAGAGGTTTTCTACGCTAACCGAGAAAACTATTTATTCAGTTGTCGAGCAATTTTTTTTAATTAAAGAGGACATCACAGAGAAAGCGTTAGACATAAATTTAGTCTGATAAAGTTAATAAATAATTAGTTATTAATAATTAAAATAAACGTGTAAATTGTACCTTATACCTATACCTTTTTTAGTAAGAAATTGTCGCTGGCTAAAAATAAATAACAATCAAACTCGGCAACCACAGATGCTTCTAGGCAGGTCAGTATCGAAGTGGAATAATAAACAATTATTATAATTATTTAGTTTAGCAAAAAAAAAAAACAATTCATTTTATCTGATTATCTATTATTAGTGTTCATAATTAATGGTGTTACATTAGTTATTGGTGAAAAATAACTAATAACTAATCGAATTTTCACAAATTGCTTGCTAAGATTGTTAAGTTGCACTTATAGCCGCTCATCAGCTTATCCACAGTCGAAATAAAAAATAAAATAGAGTATTTACCTAGCGTGGGGTACGATAATAATAGTATAATATCTTATATTCTTGTGTACACTACTATATAAAATAAAGTCGCTTTTTTTTGTTCGGGATAAAATCCAGAACTCCTTATTGGATGGTCGTAACGAGGACACCACAGAAAAGGTTTGAGGCATAAATTTAGTCCGATGAAGTTAATGAGTAATTAGTTATTATTAATTAAAATAAATTTGTAAATTGTATACCTATACAGGATGTCCCGTGAAGACTTACTCACTGCGATTTCTCCTGAAATAATTTAGATATCATAATTCTGGTTTTTTATTAAGACTCACAGAGATAAGCACTACAAATAATTGTAACATGTTTTAATTTTTTTTTATGTTTCGGTAGTAAAAAAGTTAAGAAATATATTTTTTTATTAATAATTTAAAAAAAATGAAGATAGCCATTTTGTAGAGATCATTTTTCTGAAAATATTGACGTTTCAACATTTTAATTTTATTAATCTCCTGATTTTTAATCAATTTTTTAGTTAATAGGTAAAACAGCAAAACACCGGTTTTTGTTCAGGCGGCGAGTCCCTTTCTACGGCTAATGGGTATATCACTATTATATCCTCACGGAACACTCTGTATATGCATTTTGTGCGGCAGGTATTGTGCTCTCGAGTGGTCTGGTCACGATTTTGATTGTTATTTATTAATTGTTGATTGTTGGTTGGTTTTAATCATTTGAAGACGTAATTGATTGTACATTTGATTGAAGGTTATTACTAACGTACTAGTGCAGCGGTTCCCAACCCATGGGCCGCGGCCCACTTGTGGGCCTCGAGCAGCGTGGTACTGGATGGTGAACCATATAAATATATAATATTTAATATAAAAATTATCATATATTTTTAGTATATCCCTAATAATATTTCTGGTTATAAAAATATTTATCAATATTACCTACACACTATAGTGTCCAATTAGTGTATAATTTTTACGCAGCTTATGGCTTAAATGTTATGTGTCGTGTAATATTAATCAGCTTTTACTAAGTCAATTTGTATATCCTAGGATGTACACAACGTATTTAGTAAAAGCCCGAATAAAATTTAGAATTTCAGCATTTACTGAATACAAATAGTAAAACCTAGCATTAACTAGTAAAACCTAGGTTTACCTAGTGATCGGGCATTTACGGTAACACATATATATATGCATTCGTTTATAGGTGAGCTATTTGTGGGCCTCAAAGATTATTTTTCAAAATTGGTGGTCCTTACAGCTAAAGAGGTTGGGAATCGCTGGTAACTAGTGTAGGTAGGTACTACTCTCATTTTCGAAAATGCCTAGACATATGAAAGTACCTTTTAAGTACAGTGTCAGGTTTACCACGTTGCCGGCACTCTTTTTCCATATCATAAGTGATATAATTTTTTTTCAACATTATAAAGAATCAGCGGTGGCGACACTAAATTTATGTGGGTACATTACCACGGACGTGACTAAAAGTGGTCTAATATAAAAATAATTATTTAACATCCAGAAAATTAATATTAAATTAATATCTGAGAAATATTGCAATAGCAAAGCATTGCTGGGTCAGCTAGTTACTATATAATAATGTTCAATATGTCCGTTTCACGTCTTCTCGTTTCGTAACATATATATTATGTAAACTAAATAAACTTAATCTGTTCTTTTATTTATTTATTTTTTTTTATTACATAACATAATTAGTTAGTTATTATTTTGATAGAAGTTAACTATCTACTCCATCCAGGGGCGCCATTTCAGTTTTTTTTAGGGGTGTGCAAACAATTAAAGAGGCCAATTTTTCTCACCGTCAGGCCAATTCTTAAAAAAACGTTTCTCGTGTTTTTAATTTTTCAATATAGAATTTTTAGTATCAAAAACATACTTAGCTATTAATAGTTACCTATATTTGAAATAAAGGTATCAAAAAAAAAAAAAGGAAAATACAAACTAATTATTTAAAGCTAAGTTTGTGACTAAAGCATAAAGTAAAGCGTACCTAATGCAAATAATGAACAACTTGAAATATAATAGTTTATTATTATATTGATCTTAATATGTTTATAGTTAACATTAATACTATATTTAAATATAAAATAATGGCATAGGTATAATTATAAAAGCATAGCAGCATAGGTTATTATTTAAGCGGTTATCTCCGTTGCTTCATATCTGAAAATGCATCAACAATTTTATATAAATCTACGCACTTAGCTTCTTCTTTCTCTACATTTAAAACCATAAGATCACTCAGTCTGTTATCTCCCATTGTAGTACGGAAGAAAGTTTTAACATTTTTAAGGGATAAAAATAATCGTTCATTTGAAGCAGTAGTAATTGGAAGAATCTTTAGTATAGAAATAATTTTTAAAGTTTCAGAAAAGGCTGTAGGAAGTTGTGATAAAGAGGATACAATAGAATCAAAGTTTAGTTGAATATTTGTATTGTCCTAACCTTTAACTTATAAATATAAAAAAAAAAATGATTAGTTATGAATTTATAAGATACTACTGACGATTTTTATTTCAATTTCTTTGACTAGTACCTAATTAAAAACATTATTTTATTAATTAATATACATTTTTAAACATGACAATTCAAAATCAACGATTTTGAAAAACTATCAAATTTGAACGACCGCCTGTAAGTTATTTGCCAACATATTTTTGTACACCGAAAAGCTCGAAATCTTCTAACCGAAGAAATTGGTGCGTATTTAAAATATAGTAACTATCACAAGAAAAATCTTCAGGTAAATTATTCATTGTCATTTCTTTTCCCGATATAATTTTTGAAATTTTGGAAAGTGTTTTAAAGCACAGATTTTTTTCAATAACTTGTTCAAATTTTTTATAAATTGTAACGCCTTTGTTACATTTTACTGAATTTAATTTATTTTCTACATTCTCTACAGTTTTGATTGCGTCAGTCAAAAGAGTTCCCTGAGTTTCTAAACTTGTAATAGCCGTAGCTAGAAGTCCATAATTAGTATAAATGAAAACTAAGTTTGAGGTTGTGAGGTTATTTTATTTATTAATAGGTTTTTTAGAAGTAATTTATTTTGTCAATTACATAATATTTGACTCGAATATGCAGTTAATAACAAAAAAATCGTGAAATATGCAAATACATAAAAAAAAACCCGAGATATGCAATTATATGCAAAATAAAATGTTGTACTTGGATTTATATAAGTATAATTCAAATTTGTTTTTTATCTAGCAATTTTTCAATCCATTCAGTAAAAATATGCAAATGCATGAATTTTCTGGGCCCAACTAATAAGCATAAATATATCTACTGATAAACTGATAACAAATATTATATAATATCATTGCAAGTAAATATTTGAGTTAATAAATTATATTACATAATATGTCAAACAAATGTTTAAACATGTTTACTTATTATCTATATCCGTTAGTAGAAGTTATGAATTATGGCTCGTATGATTTGTCAACAGTGACAGTATAATGATTATTGACTTACTTTTATAAATAATAATTCCCCACAAAATGTTTATATTCGTTTATTTTTGAATTATTTTAATCGTTGGACATATTATAATTTATAATTGCATGAAAATAATAAATATTTGTCTTAGGTATCAAATAAAACCTTCAATGCATAATATTTAGTATCAAAAAAGCATTTTCTTAAAATGACGAATGTGTATAATGTAACTTTGAGGAATATTTTATGTTTGTGCAAGTTTTCTGGCATCATTAACATGTCTTATGTATTAGAACCTAATGGATTAATAATTCAAAGTACAGAAACAATATATAAATCTCTGGAATTCACACGAATGATCGTGTTAATAGTATTCACATACTCAGGACATACAAATCATTTATTTATTGAACAAATGTATTTATTCAAATTATGGGCCGTCATTATTGCATCAAGAGTATCGGAAACACGGGTGATACAGTGAGATAAATAATACCTATACCAAATTACAAAAATGATATACTATAATATTAAGTGGCATGGGTGGGAAGCTCGCTATTTCAGTCACTTGATCCATTCGTGCAAGACTGAAATAATGGCCACACGAGCCACATATATATTTTTTTTTCATGTCTGAGTTCGTCGATCACGGTAAAAGATTATGCCGGGATTTATGCAACAACCAGACTATTCTGCGAAAGATCTCAGTGTCTGATTGTTACAGGGGATACGACCTGCAATTTTGGCTATTTCCATTTTAATTCCTGGCGGCACTTTAAAGTATTCCACTTTTCTAAACACTAGACGGAAAAATGTCGCTTTCTAAAGCTTCAAAGGTTCAACGGTCATCGAAAACTAAAACTAGGGTGCAGGCTTGGCAAAAAATGATTTAAACTTGAATATTTTTCGGAAAACGAGAAACAGTTTTTCATTTACCTCAACAGTGACTTTTGATATCTCATTATACATCGAGCCATATATGTCACATTGACAAAATATATATTACATTGAATTTAATGATAAAAAACAACATCATCCTCAGTAACAAATACATAAAATAAAAACGCTAGAGTTGACAAGCGATTATCTAAGATGGGCTAAAGGTGGCCACTCCTCCATCTCTAACATGTACACTGATTCTTTCAATAACGAACAATAGTGAAAACATCTAAGTAGTGAACGTTATTTTGGGAACAAAGAACAAACTTTCTACGTACTGAACTTTTTGAAGGGGTAACCGAATTGGTTCCCGTTTGTGTACGCTCATTTTCCTTCACAATTTTACAGGCTTAGGGCTGTCAACTTAAAAGTAGACTTGGTTAAAAATATGCGTTAAGGTCTAGTTACAATTTTAATTTTTTAATTTTTAATAATTGGTACAAAATATAAATAAGATACTATAAAATATAAATGTATCTCTACTCTATAGTCTATAGTATAATATACAATAAGATGGCAATATATTGTTACATTGGAAGTTTAGCAAATTATCAGTAATACCCCGAACAATAAAGATAACGATTGAGATCTATGTACTTTTTATCGCTGTACGGTATATCGTCTATAGCCAATGTACGAATGACAATAATGTTAGTGAGCTGCAGTGAACACTGTACACTCTCGAATAACCCATCGTGTTATTGAATAACTTCCTTTAGTACCTATAAACTATATAAATTTGTAATTTGTACTTTTTTACTTTTAATTTATATTTTTTAATTTTAATTTTTCGTAATTATGGAGTTTATGTTTAGTGAAAAGGGAACTAAGTTGTTGATTGTTGACAATTATAAGTTTAAATTCCAAAATAACCTAGCAGGGGATAACACACAGAGGTGGTTATGTACAAAACAAAAATGTAAAGCATACATTAAATTGAACGGAGATTGTTTGCCTGAAGAAGTCTTAACACATAACCACAAAAAGGAAGGTGATGGTACACTTGTGTGACAACAATTGTCAAATTCATTGAAAAGAAAATGTGACGAACTTATTACAGAGCGACCATCTAAAATTATCTGCAAGGAGATAGCTTCAAACAGTAATAGTGAGTCACTACTTCAAAATGATATTAACAGAGTCCGTAAAAATTTGAATGCTGCTAAATTAAAAACAATTCCCAAGTTACCTTCTAATCTTAAAAAACTGCATACAAGTGTCAGAGTATATTCGTTAACAACTAATCTCGGAGAAAACTTTATTTGTGACAGCGATTTTGTCAACAATACAATAACATTTACATGCACACAAAACTTGAAACAACTCAATAAAGCCACTACGTTATTTTTCAATGGAGTATTCAAAAGTTGTCCCAAGTAATTTTATCAAGTTTATCAATTATTTTCTATTTTTATCAAATTTATCCTACTCCCGAACAAGACTACTGACTCTTACATACGAGTACTTGCATTAAATAAGGTCGCAAAATATCGAACAGTTGGCATGGTTTTGAAACAGCTATCCCTAGTGCCATAACTTCACAGCTACAGCAAGTTACAGTTAGAGGTTGTAGATTCCATTCATGTCAGTCATAGTGGAGAAAAATAACAGTTTGGTCTCTTCGACGAATTTAAAGATATTAAATAATTCTTCAGAAATTGTCCAATTTCTGAAACTATTTTTTGGACTGTCCTTGTTATCGCCAGAAGACGTCGAAGACTGTGTTTTAATTATTTGATGGCCATAAAATCTTGCTGCAAAAAATTGAATCAGTTCTTTGATTACGATCATGATACATACATAAGGACTGACAGTATCTTTAGACCGAAAATTTGGGCTAGATTTAACAAAAATATTGATAGGACTACACATTTTTACGAATCGTTCCATTCAAAATTGGAAAAAGAATTTACAAGTTCCCATCCTAATATATATTATTTTATGAAGACTTTAAACAGCATTCAGACATCAAATTATATTAAATTTCGAAGTAATAATACTTGGAAACTCACTAGCAAACAAGAAAAAAATAAACAAATACTTGGAAAATTGTATGACTGAGTACATTAATGAGAAGCCTACGCAAATTGAATACTTAAAGAAAGTTTGCTTCAAATTTCATTTGAATTCAAATTAAATACTTGTATTTATTATATTTTATTTTTTGTATTTTGTACACCTAGCGATGACTAGTTGACTTCCAAATCAACAATTTAAAATTGTATATATTAAATCATTTTTTTCTATAACAGACATTTTAACCAAGCCTGCTTTTAAGTTGACAGTCATAAGTCTGTAAAATTGAGAAGGAAAATATGTGTAATTAAACGGGCACCAATTCGGCTCAACTTAATAAAATATCTTTTTCAAACGGGAACCAATTTGGCACGTGGGGTTGGAGCTCGGGAACCAATTCGATACCAGCCCTTTTTGAATAGTGAATAAATATTTAGTGAAAGAGAGTGTTTGGTATTTAGATATTTCTCTGTATTTAAAATTTTTTCAAATATTCAAATTCAAAATCACATACATAAGTAAGAATATTTTTGATAATACGGTTTTACGATTATACAGGGATGGAATAACGGGTCTATTTTGTATAGGTAATGAAAATTCATGAAAAATGCACGCACACAAAATGTTAGTTTTAATATTTACTGTTTTCTATGCGACATAGCTGTGTGAAAACTGCAAGTATAATATAATCTCATGGTTTTCTCATTTTGATATTTATAGGTTGATGAATGGCATCATCGAGTACGATCAAAAACTAAAATCACTTCCAAAATTTATGCTGATCCACCAATATTCACCAAAGAAAAATTATTGGAATTCAATTTTCATTTTCACAATAGTTTATTATATTACACTGGTAATTACGAATATTGTATTATGGCCACCAAAGACTATTAACTTCGTTGTTATCACTAAGTATTTTTTTGGGATAGAATACGTCTTGGACGTTGCAGTATGTTTTTCGACATATTTTTTCTTACAACAATTAGAATATAGATTCCAGACGTTGAATGAGTCCTGGAAATATCTTCTTCCCGGATTTCTACCCTTTCCTGGGAAATTGACATGTTCCATAACAGGAATGACGTTGGATAAAATACGGTTGTTACACGCTGAATTATCGGACTCATTGAGATTATTCAGTGTAGCTTTTGGACAAATACTATTAGGGTTTTTTGTTTTTAGTTATATTGATATGCTACTTCAATTTTATTATTTTATTGTTTTTGATCTTACTAAAACAGAAAAATTCAGTTTTTTAAATTTTCTAAGAAAGATAGTGCCTCATATTGTGTACCTAAAAAATGTCGTACTGGTTTTAGCTATTATCATTGCTGCATCACGTGTTCATGAAAAGGTAATAATGATATAAGTATTTAATTAAATATTAATGCAAAAAAAAATTAATATTTTCTTTTCTATTCATTCTACTTTCGTTCCCTTAACTGTAAAATACTTATTAAACTCTCCTTTTTGAAGTTAAATATTTAATATTAGGATTTTCTGTAAATTTGGGCCTTTGGTGGTCTTTCCAAAATACAAATTATAAAAGTATAATTATATTTTATTTGTATTATTTTGATGTTTGTGTGACTACCTACCATAATGTTTTCATATTTCTTAAGTATAGATTTATCACAAACATCCCTTCGAATTTCCATGTTACATTAGTATTACACAAGTCCATATGCCCTTTACCTAGGGTTTTCATATGTTCCGATAAATCAGTACTGTCACCAATATTTTGATCTCTGTCCGGACGTCCCGTTAAAATACCAAAACGTCCCGATTCGTGAATCGTGATCGAAAACAAAAATATTTTTTATTTCAACTTATTGCTTGTTCTTCTAAAACTCTTATAAGACTAATCGTATATGATTAAAATCCAATTAATTTGTTATTGCAATCGTTATTGCTATCGATGATTCATGAATTTTTTAATAACTTAAGACACGGACACATGGCATAAGGTCTTAACTGCGATAAGTCGACGATTGCCTATCAGCCTCTTTATTCACTCGACGAAAAATATTATACAAAACACCAAGAAATCTTCAATTTTCTGAGGAAATCTATCAAATATATTTGCTTGCAAACTAAATTGAAAATGACAATTATTGTTGCGTAATTGAGTATAAAAAAATAACACCCGATTCTAAAATTCCTATAACGTCCCGACGAGACCGTAGCCAGATATGGCAACTGTACCTTAAACTCAAACATTCTTTTTATTTAACACAATTTATTCTATGCCTGTGTAATAGTTTATAAATTTACTGTATATATTTGTGGCAATATCTATTCCAAATTAATATATTAATATAATATTAAAATACAAAAGAAGTAAACTCTGTGGACATTGTTTTTAAAAAATTAAAATATTACTAATGGGCTTAAAATCATTGGATATTTAAAGACACAAACTTTTTAACACATAACGGATAACTTACACATGAATTGATGACATTGTATTTTTATTTTATGTCCTAAGAAACGAAAGATGATTTCACATTTGCGGTTAATAAGAATTTCAAATTTATCGGCAAACCTAAAAATTCAAGTAAATAATATAGTTATAGTATTGAGAAAGTGTTAAAATGATTCTTAAAGTGTATAATTCAATAATTCTATTTTAGGTTAAATTGTTTATGAACCAAATAACAGTTTTTGAATCTAGTGAAATCACAGCTTTTGGAATTTTCATTATAAATTTGAATCTTGTTATATCGGTTAGTATATAATTTACAGATTGTATTCTTTGTTATTTATTTGAGCACAAATAACAATGATATAAAAATTAATTATATTTTTGTTCACAGATACTAATATTACTTATTACTGGTATAGTAACATTAATACAAATGAAGAATCATCCAATGATATTGCAATCAAAACAAAGTGTATTGAAGTTTCTGTTAGATACTCGTATTCATAATTTAACATACAACTAGGTGAAAATGTAGAATATTATTTAATTAATTGTAAGTAAAAACCCAGCGGTTAGACTGATCACCAGAAACTTAGCTTGCCTTATCTTGACATTATTTTTTTTTTTGGTGATGGTGTTCTTTTCAGTTTTCCTAGTCAATAGTTTAATCTATTTGATCATGTCTTATAAATTATATTGTATTTCAATTAAAATTCAGAATTTAGATTTTATGTTATTTTACAATATGCCAACACAAAATTTATTTAATGTGATTTCAACAAGTTATTGAGATATTATGGTTTATTAAACATTTTTGACAAGTTAATACATTTTTATTGATATATTTTCTATATTTATAAGGTATCGTGATTGTGACAGTACAGGTAGTCTTAAAACAATATTTCGGTTCTGTTACTGAACCATTAGGAAAATAATCCGAAAAACAATCGTAGTACCTATTGCTATTACATAATTATACCATAAATATTGGAATATGGTAAACTGAGTCCAAAACACATTTTTTGTCGTTGACTGAGTCCCGGGTTTGGAAATGTTTATGATCAGCTGAGTACCTAATATTATTATGATTCATAAAGTTGTTAGGTATATTAATTTGTATAAACAATTATAACTAAGTACATACACATAGGTATAATAATAAATAATATTTATTTTATTACTATTTTTTATTATGTACCGGTTAAAATGTATATGAGATGTTTTTAACAAATGCAAGTCATGAAACATTTTATTTTTCATATTTGAAAATGTCTTGTCTCAAAAAATATACTAAGGTGGTGACTGATTCCGCCTCAAGGTTAGATGCATAATATCAGTCACATGTATTATGTATTATATTATTTAGTGGTTCTTTGTATACTTGAACGCTTCTATCCCTATTATATTTTATAATTATTTTAAGTTGCACATAATGTAGTGTGTTGTGCGTAAGAACGTATATATATTACGTTTGTAAAGTCATATATTATACGGTATTAAAATCATAGCTTAAGAGCAGACTAAATATTGGAGTACTTCGATAGATAAGATATTTCGGCATATAAGAATAATATTTTGGATAAGTAGATTATGACTTATATCAATTTTATGTGTTGATGAGCTTTTCGTAGTTGAGAGATTACAGAAAAAAATTAGAGTTCAATGGATCCCATATTACAACTTTTGACCAAACATTAGTACCCAGAATAATTAAACTTATTAAAATCAATTTCTTAAGTAAAAATATAATGGACAAATTGTATTTACCATTTATTAGTTTTAATTTTTTTCACAACTGAAAAATGAAGTAAAGATATTTTTAGAAGGAAGCACACGTCAACTCTACGTTACAATGATGATTTATGAGGGAAAATACAAAAGACAAACCTGAATAACAACTAAATTATTAATACTAATGAAACTAACTTTTTTCCTTAATAATTATTATAAATTAATGGTTGAAATGTAGTGAGTATTCAAAATCAAATAACAATGTGCAGTCGACAATTAGTAGACTAGTCACGAGTAGAAGATATTATCTATACGTAAGAGTACAACTTCTATAATTATAAGACTATAACTTTATTATAATAACAAAAAATAGGCGTGCCCAAAAAGTTTTCATAGGGTGTGCATAATTATTTTGAATTTAGGAAAAAGGAATGGAAAACCCCTCAAAACATTAGACATGAAATGATTATAATTATGATAATATTATTTATGATTAATTTTAACATAATATGTAGTGCCGTGCTTCGATTAAGTGACATAATCATATTTTCGTACTTTTACATCATATTTTTTTATTGATTTGAATCAGAATAATAACAGCACATACATATTTACATAATATTATATTGAATAACATCGCATCTTACTTAAAATACAACTTCCTAATGTTTAATTACATTTCTATTATTATTCCATACTTAATTCCTTTAAGTAAAAACTTGTGCTTCCTAAAAGGAAGCTCATAATTAACTGTAATATAAGATGAAGAACTGAAAAAATTATTATTTATTTATAGTTTCTACTTTCTACAGTCAATACTTTTTTTAATAACAACAAAATATCTCATACCATTTATATTAATATATCGATTATAAAATATTTGTATATTTAACTTCATTAATATTAGAATTACCAACTCTTAATAATGCATGCCTTAATAATTTTGATGTTTCTTCAGCTCAAAATGAACCTAATTATAAAAGCTTCATAATCAATTTACATATTTATAAATCGTAGGTAATAGGTATAACAGTATGATATATATTAACAAATAACTTCCCTGATATTTAAGGATTTTTTCGACTGTCACGGAAGAATAGTGATTATTTACCCAAATAAACAAATTTAATATTAATTCTTCAAGAAATGATTGTATTAATTTGTTTATTCAATCATTTAAATTGTTTGGAGTGCCTAATTGAATTTATAATAGCATTATATTGACAAATATTTGTATATTATACAGTTTATTAAATATTTCGTTTCAAAATTAAGAACCAAAAAAATGTTTTCTTAAAATAACGAATGTTTTTTAAGAAACATTGAAAATTATTTTTCTCTTGGCCAAAATTGATTGGCATCATTTACAAGTCATGCGCATTACAAAGGATGGATTATTAAAACAAAGTACAGACTCAATATAAAAATGTCTTGAAATTGCACGAATGATCATGTCAATCATATCACCCTACTCAACCATATGTACAAATTCTTATTATACTAGTATAATACAGCCATACAGGTACTCAAATTATTATGGTCCGCCATTATTGTATTACAGTGACTCTGTAGACACCATATGTACGGAAAAGCGTTAATCACATAAACCAATGGTTTTTTGAGTCAATGGTAATGCAATGTACCAACAATAGTACCTACTACCTTCATCAAGTTTTTAGTGAATAGCTAGAAGTGATAGTATTGCCTTAGAAACATATTTAACATTCCTAAATTTAAATTGATTTTCAGGGAAAATTTGAGATTTTTCAAGGAACTCATTTATGCGTAATTTAGTTCATTTTTTCAAGAACTTTATTATACAAACGTATACATAAATATTTACCTACATAACATAATATTTAATGAATTATTCGACACTGTGACTACAGAATAATGATCTTTGACCTACATAAATAAATTGAATAATAATTGTTTAAGAAATTATCGTATTAATTTATAACTGCATATTATTAAAATATATTTGTGTGTAAGTATAAAATATTTCGTTTCAATATTTAGTATTAAAACAAACATTTTCTTAAAATGACGAATGTTCATAAAATATCTATGAAGTCTATCTTAAACTTGTGCAAAATTGTGGGCATCATTAACATGTCTTACATAATAGAATCTGATGGATTAATAATTCAAAGTACAGAAACAATTTACAAATGTCTTGAACTAGCTCGAATGATCATGATAATAATATTCACTTACTCAATAAAAGCAAAAGATTTTTCTTTCGAAGACATGTATTTGCTCAAGTTTTGGTACATCATCATTGCCTCGAGGATATCAGAAATACCGATGATACAGTAAGATAAAAAAATACCATTCTAAATATTAAATTAAGAAAATTCAAAATAATTCACAATTTTTAATTGGATTTAAAAAAAAAATGTAGAAAGGGCTATTCTGTGTAACTTAAAAGTAGGTGTGTCGCAGTAATAAATATAATAAATTTGAATTCAATGATAAAACAAATACATCAACCTCAACGTCAATTCTACAAAAAAAAATGATTCCATGAGTTAGCAAGGGATTCAATAAACGCCAGGGTTTCTTTACATCAATCGTGGAAGTTCGTAAGAATATATTTTTTTAAATTGCGATTTCCGTATTATATTATGTGGGGATGAAATAACAAGCAAATTATGAGATGGGCACCGAAAATAGATTCTCAATATTTCTCATAATGCAATATATATAAACGAAAAAAAGTGTTCGTATCTAATATACCATTCATGCTGTGTATCAACTGTAAGTATATAACCATATGGTAAGAACATAAATCTGTTTATCTAATGGGACCGTTTGAAGTGCTGAAAAATTAGAAAAAAGGTTTTATGATGAATGATGATACATGATGTATTTATACATTGTTTGTTTTAAATTATTTTAACCTGTTTTTTCTCATTTTGTTTATCATAGGTTGATCAATGGCATTATTGAGTACGACCATAAACTAATATCACTTAAAAGATTTTTGATGATTCAACAAATTTCACAGGAGGAAAATTATTGGAATACAATTTTAATTTGCACTTTAATTTATTATACTATATCGTCATTAGGGCTTCTGATCTTATGGCCACCAAATACTATAAACATGTATATTATCGGCATGTATTTTATTCGGATAGAATTCATCATGGACATCACAGTTATTTATTCCTCATACTTTTTTCTACAACAATTGGAATATAAATTCCAAACGTTGAACGATTCCTGGGAGTATTTTCTACCCGGATTTCTAGCCGTTCCTGGGGAATTGACACATTCCATAACAGGAATGACGCTGGATAAAATACGATTGTTACACTCTGAACTATCTGACTTATTGAGATTATTCAGTGTAGGTTATGGAAAAATCCTATTAGGATTTTTTGTATTTAGTTATATTAATATCCTACTCAATTTTTATTTTTCTATTCATTTTTATTTTATGATAAGCGAAGAAATAATCATTTATCGTAATGTTCTAAGAAATTTAGTACCACACATGATCAACCTACAAAAAGTCATATTGGTTTTGGCTATTATCATTGCTGAATCACGTGTACATGAAAAGGTAACATTAATACAAATATTTAATTATAAGTACCTATATGTATATTTCAAGATAATTTATAACTTCATAAATTAATATAGATATTATTCTGTTGCAATTTTTTTTCCTGTTTTGCTCTTATTTCTAAACTAATATAAATTAATATTTTGGGTATTGTTATAACCAGGGACGGCGCCAGGATTTGCGAGGCCCAGGACAAAACACTATTACGAGGCCCTATA